GAGGTGTACTTCAGAAGCAGAGCTGACGTCAGTCTGTGCGCGTCGCCAGCACCTCCTTCTCTCCTCGTCGAACCCACCACCATCCCCTTTCTCCTCCTATCTGTCTTGTGTGTGCCTTGCTGGGGGAGCAGACGGCTTCATCGCGAAGCTGCCCCCATCAGGCGTCTTGACGGGTATCAAAATTCTTCCCTAATAAATTCTGCAAAGGGGTGTGAACGGAGAGAGCAAACTCCTGGCAGCTCCCACAGTCGAAATGTGCGCCAGCTGCCCGCTCACCTGTGTCACGCCGCCGCGCACGCACCTCGCTATGTGCTCGCGCGAGCTCCCGCCCGAGCCTCCAGCTCGGTTTCCCACTGCTGCGGAGCCGATCGCTTTTCCTCGGCGCTCGCGTCGAGCCGAGCTCTCGGCACTCTACGGCGGGCGTCGCTGTGCGGGGCGCCCGTTTCCTGCTGGCCCGAGCGGAAAGCTCCACGTGCCCGCGCGAGCTCCGGGCCGAGCCTCCAGCTCGGCGTCCCACTGCTGAGGAGCCGATCGTCGTCCGTCGGTGCTCTCGAGGAGCCGAGCTCCTTGGCCTGCGGCCGGCGACGCTGCAGGACGGCGCGCGCGCACCCTTTTGCCTGGAGCGAGGGGGGCCACGGCTGCCTAGGCCACGGGGAGGACGAGTCGAACCCTCTGCTCCCCAAGAAGGTCGAGGTGTGGGCGCAGGAATGAGGTCACGGCTGTGCCTGTGGCGCGAGTTACGCATGTTAGTGTCCGCTGCTGAGTCACAGGCGGCGGCCAAGCACAGTGTCGTCCTGCCGCTCTCGCTACGCCGCTCGTGCGCCCCGCGCGCATGTCGGCTTCTCATGCCTCCGGCCTCTGAGGACCCACCTCGGGCGCTCGGGCGGTTGGGGATGGCAAATCGGTCACCAGCGCCCAATAAATAAAGTGAAAACACGCGGAAATTCTTTGAATTCCTCTTGTAGCTTGAGCGGTCACACCGCCATCGCGCATCGCCGCCGACGTCTCCCAGGGAGGATGGAGGGGCGTGACGATCGTGTACTAACCGCCTCGATCCTTGCGCATCGGCCATGTCTCCCGCAGAGACCCGCAGCCGCGAGCGAGCAGCGCAAAGAGGCTTCGCGCATTTTTTTGCGCAGCTCCACGTTTTTCTTTATTTCGTTCCTCGCCCTTTCCTGCCTCGGCCGCGGCGGCCATGTCGCTCCGGCGAGGCCAGCACGACGCCGCCACGGCTGAGGCGGTGAGCGACGCTCGCGCACGGTACGCCGACCCGTCGTCCAACTGGCGCTCGCTCAGCGAGTCCACGAACTTCGAGTGGAAGTTCCTCACGCCGCTCGTTTGGGCGCCCGCCTTTCCATTCCTACGGCGTGCACCGCCCTCTGTGCGGCCGTACGTCTTTGGTGGCGCCATCCTGGTCGCCAACATGCACGGCTTCAACAATCCAGACTTGAGTGACCTGTAGTGGGTACGCGTCGTGATAGAGGTACTGTGAGAGTGTTGCCCGCGCAAGTGATGTAACCTTTTTGCTCATGCCGTTGCCGGCGAGGCCGAATAAAATAAAGAGGGACCCCCCGTGCCTGCAATCTCTTAAATGGCAATTTAAGCCCCCCCCAACCTCCTCATTTCTTAAAAGCTCTTAAAAAATCCGGCCCTCAGACCCTTGGGGTCCCCTAAAGAAGTCCGGCGCCGGCCGCGCGGGGCGCGGCGGCCGGCGGGGCCGCGCCGCCCCGCCGCCGCCCTGCCGCCGCCCCCCGCAGCCCGCACCCCCTGGGCTTGGGGCTTGCGCCGCGGCCTGTTCGACTATGACTTCAGACTTCTGTGCTGTGCTCCTGATACATATTTTTTGACGCAGGACAGCAGTGGGCACCTAAGCGGCGCCGGCGGCATGAGAGAACAAGGTGGATGGTCGATCTCACACGCCACACCCACGCAGTGGAACCGGGACGACGCCCCTTCCCGAGAGGCCGACGGGACGCGGGAGGGGGTGCCGAGCAGCGCGAGACGCCGTGGCCCGACCAGCCGTGCATCACCAGGCAGGCCCGTCGCTGTTCGCCCACTCCTCGAACTTTGGGCTGTCGACCCACGCCTCCCACGCCTTCCAGTTCTCTTCGTTCTTCTCCCACTCGTCAAAGTTCTCCATCGTCGGGAACTCGAAGCCTGCGGGAGAGGGGGCGGAGGCGCGGGCTCGATTGGCGGCACGAGGGGTGGTCGTCGATGCGGGGAGGAGGAGGAAAAGTGGCGGTAGGGGCGGTGGAGAGCCGAGCGGGGGACGCCTCACCCCACTTGGCCGAGGTGACCGAAGCGCCTTCGCCGCCCTTGACCTCGAACGAGACGCCGAGGCCCGACACTTTCGATGCGAGCGCCTTGGGGGCCTCCTTCTTGGGCACCGGCTTCGATGTCAGCATCCCCTTGATCTTGACCATGCCGTACACGGTCGCATAGAGCCCGAGGATGGCGAGGACAATCTGCGAGGGGGGAGGAGAGCGATTGGGCGCGAGGGCCGCGCGGGGGGGGGGAGCGGCCGAAATCATATCCCTCGCCCACCCCTCAGCGCGCATCCCCCGCTCGCGCCGAGCACTTTGGTGCGAGGATGCGCACAGGCGCCGGCGGCGCGAGTTGAATGCGGCGCTCCCTCCTCTCTCCGGGGAGACCCCAAATCTAGGGGCGGCGCGCACATGCTCGTCCTTCTTGAGATACTTGCGGACGGTGTCGTCGAGCGAGGACATGCCGCCCGCGAGAGGGAGGGCAAGACTCGCTCCTCGGCGCAAGACTCGCTGCTTGCTCGGCGATAAAAAGAAAATCCGCCGCAGTAAAAAATCTAAATAAATTAGGTGCCCTGTAGGCTTGGCTGCAAAGGGGATTTTTGTTGTGCCGACTTCGATCTTCGTGTGTGCTCCGCTTCTGCTCATCTCTCTCTCTGAGAGAGAGATTTTGAGACATGAGAGAGAGAGAGAGTCAGAGAGAGAGAGAGAGAGAGAGAGCCGAGATAGAAAGAGAGAGATTTTGAGTGAGACGGTTTAGAGAGAGAGAGAGAGAAAGAGAGAGAGAGAGAGAGAGAGAGAGAGAGAGAGAGAGAGAGAGAGAGAGAGAGAGAGAGAGAGAGAGAGAGAGAGAGGGTGGGAGTACATTTCTTTCTAATTTTATTTCGCCTCGAGCTGTGCTTAAAAGTTAAATCTCTCTACAACCTCCAATCCCCGTCCTTGCTTGCGTCCCCCCATGCCGGTGTGTCCAGTCGCTGGCCAGCCTCTTCTAAACCAACACTCCCGTTTCCCAAGAAAAGAAAAGTCCAAGCCTTCCTCGATTTCCGCGAGAGCGGCGTCTCACAAAAAGCCTAGCCGTCCCGGCGCAAGAAAAGCCTTGCCGCCGAGCTGTCATTCCTTCTGCAGGCCGCGTGCAGCGACGCGCGAGTCCTGGCGGCGCAGCCGCCCCGCCGTGCGGACCATGGCCAACCAGCCCGTCGACGCGCCCGACGACGTGACCTCAGCCGGTAAGTGTCGAGAGCGCCCCCCGGCCAAAAGTCGACGATCCTCGCTCGCCGCCTCGCCCCTTCCGGCGGCGCGGCGGCGCCCGCGACGGGCGGCTCGCCCCACGGCGCACCCCGCCGCCGTAGGTACTCGAGGTGCTCGCCCTCCAACGACGCCGCGGGGGAGGGCCGCGACCCGCTGGGCCGGCTGCCTCTTGCGCCCTCGCGCCGGCGCCCCTTGCGCCGGCGCCGGCCGCGCCGGCGCCGGAAATCGCCGCGCCGCGGCTCCCTCGCTCCGCCGCGGCGCGGCCTGTGCCGCGTTCGCGACCTCGGCGCGCCGCGCCCTGCCGAGGTAATGAACTCCTCGCCCCCAGGTTTTTTTCCCCCTGAGACGACACCTGGGGTATTCTTTGTGGGGTCTT